TATCGTAATGGTATGACTGGAATAAATTTACTAGCAAATGGCTACAGCACAGAAAAATGCACCAGAACTGTCCTACTCAATAAATATGGGATGTTATAAAGCGGAAAAGCATACACGATTTCACTGTTAAAATGGTCAGAGGTACCAGACCACTGTTCATACTGTTGTGTATAGCAAACTGTTGTTGCGCGCTCTCGAGAAAGGGCGCCACCTCACCGGCGCACAGGCCAACGAGGAGACGAAAAGAAGACTGACGTGGCCAAGATGGCGTAACGAATGTATCAATAAACACATTCTCTTTTGACGTAAGAATGTTCGGCCTTGGAAACATGACATGGTGGGAGCGATAAAAGAAAAGAAAGAAATGACTAACCTCAAGAACAAGAGGATGCCATCCAGAGATGGGTGAGCGCCCACCAACTACTCAACATGCCGGACAAAGAAGGAAACGCCTCCAAACAAAGGGCAGCAGCAACGCAGCAGCAAAATGGCCGGAACTTCTTCAACCCGTACGCCATTGAACTTCCTGGAAAGTTGGACTTCCATGACAAAGAAAATCAGGAACCATGATTCATCACAACAATGGTGGAAGGATGTCCAGTGCACTTCAAAGTTGATACAGGAGTGGATGTCGGTGTTATTCCTCCGTCCCAGTACGACAATAACCGCATCGAGAAACCAAGGACACCCAACAAGAGACTCTTTGGACCTGGCTGAACACCCATCACGGCAAAGGAAATGTCGGACACAAACCATTTCATGGCACAGCAGGTCAATGCACCAACAAGTTTTTATAGTGGAAGGGCTACAGACTGCACTGTCGGGACGACCAGCCATACAAGCTCTTGGCTTTCTGGCACACTTGGAGACAGTGGAGACAAAAACACAGGAAAACCCGACTCAAAAAGGCAAGTCTCCCGAGGCAAGACGAGTTTAGCACGCTGTTCACGGGACTGGGTGAAATGAAGACAGCCTACAGGGTGACGCTCCAAACGAATGCTACACCTTATCCAGTGGCAGCTCCTTGACGAGTACCTGTTCCACTCCTGCCCAAAGTCAAAGACCAACTCGAAAGCATGTAGAAACTGGGAGTCGTCAGGCAAGTTGACCATGCAACGCCCTGGTGTGCGCCTATGGTCATTGCAAAGAAAAAGAATAACGAGATCAGAATATGTGTCGACTACGGACAACTAAACCAGAAAGTGATCCGGGAGAGAGTCGTCATACCAACAGTGGAAAAAAACCTGGCAAAGTTGGGCAATGTGAAGTTCTTCAGTGAGCTCGATGCCAACGCTGGCTATTGGCAGACACCCCTTGCACCAGAATTGAAAGACGTGACCACTTTCACTACGCCATTTGGGAGATTTCAATTCGTGCGGCTACCCTTTGGCATTGCAACAGCTCCAGAGTTCTTCCAAAGAGAAATGCTCCGCATCCTTGAAGGACTGCCTGGACAAGCGTGCCACCAAGATGACATTGTCGTGTTTAGGAGAGATCAAGGTGATCACGGAGCCAAACAGTGCCTCAGAGAAGCTGGAATGACATTAAATTCACGCAAGTGTGAATTCCGGAAAACAAAAATAAAGTTCCCTTGACACGTGCGGGGACAGAATGGTATTGCCGCAGACTCGGAGAAAGCAGAAGCCATCAGAAAGATGCCACCACCAGAGAACATGACTGACCCGAGGTCCTTCCTGGGCATAGTGAATCAGTTGGCCAAATTTCTTCCAGGACTGGCTGAGAAGACAAAGCCGCTACTAGAGCTGCTGCTCAACGAAACGAGTTGGTGTTGGCACCAACCTCAGCAAAGAGCGTTCGACGAGATCAAGGCTGACCTGACAACAACTCCTGTCCTGTGCTATTACGATTCCAGAAGCCTCTGACACTATCAACAGACGCTTCACCATATGACTTAGAAGCCATACTCCTCCAAGCCAACAACGAAGGGAAGCAACAAGCCAGTGGCATACGCCTCCCAGGCTTTGTCACCAACAGAGCAAAAGTATGCTCAGGTAGAAAAGGAGGCTCTCGCTGCAACGTGGGTGTGTGAGCATTTCAGGATGTATGTGGTCGAACTGCACTTTGTGATTGAGACTGACCACAAGCCACTGGTGCCTTTGTTCTCGATGAAGAGCATTGACGAAATGACTTGACTTCAGCGTTTTTGCATGTGCTCGGATACGATTTCACAATGGTGCACATACCAAGAAAGGACATGCACACTGCCGACGTCTTGTTGCGAAAACCACTGCAGTGCCTAGATGAAAACCTAGCATCAGCAATCGAAGAGTACAAACTACTGACGATTGAGCAGCTGCCAGCCTCCACTGACATGCTAAACAGGACTAGAGCCGAGCTGCAAAAAGACAAGATGACATCACGCGTCATGCACTGTTGTGCAACAAAATCGCCGAAAACGGAGACGTTGACACCATAAGTGCACAAGTATGCAAGTGTGGCTGACGAACTGTCAGTTGTACATGGTCTCCTGCTCAGAGGAACAAGGCTCGTCTTTTCCCCAAGTCTACGTCAGGAAGTGCTGGAAAGACTTCACACAGGACATCAAGGTACCGTCGGGTGTCGCACAAGAGCACTATAGTCTACATGGTGGCCAGAGATCGGCCAAGACATCGAGGCGTTCGTGAGCAGATGCCCAGCCTGCGAGAGGCACCGCCAAGCACCAACTGAGCATCTGCTTCAGACTCCTCTCCCAGAATGTCCATGGCAAGTGGTCGGCACCGATTTGTTCTACTTCAAAGGAAGGAACTACATCATAGCCATGGACTATTACTCAAAGTGTTTTTAACTTGAAGAGCTACACGGGACACAGATGAAGCGTGTTGTACATTTCTTGGACGACCTGTTCGCTCGCTACAGCATCCCAGATATCATTCAGTCGGACAACGGCCCACAGTATAGCTCACTCCAGTTCGCACAATTTCTGAGTGGCTGGGGCGTAGAACATGTGACATCTAGCCCACACTATCCAAAGAGCAATAGTGAGGCCGAGAGAGCGGTTCAGACGGCCAAAAACATTCAGAAGGTCATTCAAGGCCTTCTGGTACACCCAGCAACGCCAGGCCCCGAGGGCTACTTCCCTGCCGAACTTCTCATGGGCCGCAAGCTAAAGACAAATGTTCCTACAATGCCCGGGGGCATTGCAAACAAAGTGGATGTACCGATTCACGTATCGACAACGAAACAAGGCCATTCGAGAAAGGGAGGTGGAAAGCTACAATGTCCGACACAGGACGAAAGAAAGAGCGCCCCTCCATCCAGGTACTGTGGTCCATGTTAGGCAAGGCACCCAACAACAAGGAACCAATGTTGGACCAGAGGATACACGGAGATCATACATCGCCCAGACAGCCGTCGGGAATGTCCGTCGTACAAGAACACCTACAAGCAGTGCCTCAAGGAAATCTTCCTAACAATGGAAAACCGGGTTGCCCAGAAGAGGCGACGCAAGTCACTGCAGCGGTCGAGCCGCGAGACCACCAGAATGTCTCGGCCTCTAATCAAGCCAACGACTCGCTTCTCAAGCGGGGGAGGTGTCGTGTATTGCAAAATGTTGTTGCGCGCTCTCAAAAGAAGGCGCCACCTCACCGGTGCACGGGGCAGTGAGGAGGCGAAAAGAAGACGGACGCGGCCAAGATGGCGTAACAAATGTATCAATGAATATGTTCTCTCTTGATGTAAAAATGTTCGGCCTTGGAACTAAAACTAACAATGCCAAGCTTCAGTACACAGACTTTTGGCAATGCATGGCAAGATTAAGTATCCACTAATTTCAGTAAAAAGCGAACACCAAGTAGGTTGTTTACATCAGAACAGACAAGAAAGCTCGGTGTAAGTCGGAAAGCGTCTATACTTTGAAGAACACTCATACCAGAATGTGCACGGAAAAGGCCTGAACACCACAATCTAGATCAAGGTCCAAACATCCTTACCAAACAGTCACAACTCACAAAAAACAACATAACCATTATTTTAAATATTCAATAGTCGACAACCTTTCAAGACAAGAACATGTGGCAATACATTAACTTCACTGTTTAAAATAGTCAAAACTATATGCTACAGTCCTCTTCACACCAGGTGTCATCAAAGCAAACCAATGCCAAAACCTGAGTGTAAACATCTGAAAGAAGTGTGTCTTGGTAAGAGCTAAAATCTTCCAACCAAGCAACTGCACAGGGTTAGTCTCAATATCAGGGACGACTTGTTGGCTATTGAAGAAACGCCAACCGACAACGTAACAGCATGGTGCTCGGCAGGTCAGCCAGTTTACATCAAGAATTTCTCCGAAACTTCACCTTGGATCCCAACATTCATCATAAAATCAGCAGGCATTCGGTCATTCCTCGCGGAAACAAATGACGGGTGGCACCAACGTCTGAACCTGGACCTCATTCGCCGGTGTCAATTACGAAATCCAGCTGAAAACAACAGGAAAATATCTTTGCCATCTTCTGTGTTTCCTACCACTTGGATACTAACGGATGAAAAAGAAGCCCATGGACAGCCGGATAAACGAACACAAGAGACGAGTGAGGCCAGCGGCTCAGATGCACCAGAGGTCCATCCACACACTGCGACCAGACAGCATGGCTGGATGATCAAATAGCTGACACACCTAGAGTACTATGTGTTGCAGTAGTGCATACCAACCAAGAAGGGGAACATAGGTAATGCCGTAATGTGGGGTTTCACTGCGCGACAGCGGGGCAAAGTTCTCCGGCGCCCCACGCCGGCTCGTTGGGCCATACACCGACACGGGCCTGTACAATGCTCATCCAGATCAAAGCTTGCAGGGGTTTGGACTGAACCCAGGACCCCTGGGTTCAACCCCGACCTCTGACAGTTTCAATCTTGATTAGTGTCGTACTGGCTCTTGTTAGGGTATCACTACTACCTGAGGCATGTTAGAGGCACCCCCCTGGTGCATCTAACATGCGTCATGATACGTCACTGTAAGGCCACCAGAAGAGACACACATCTCACTGCCTTCGAAAGCGTGACCGGTGAGTGGCTAGAGCAGTCTCCAGGCCAGGCCTCTGTGCCAGCGTGCTGCCCAGTGTTGGTCGTTTCTGCTTCGGGAGTGCTTCCTTCGCTGCTGCGAACGTTGGGTACCTCTCAATGTGTTCAAAGAGTCCAGTTAGCAGCTTCTGGATGTAACCTAAGAGCAAAAAATTCACAATAAGAATTAAACATAATGGGATAAAACAGTGCTCAAAGGTACAAAATGAAGCGACAAACCGGACAGGAGAGAGCGCTGACTCGCAACTAATATGTATTTTTACAGATAGACAAGGAGAAAGACAACACACATTGATCCACACATTCACACGCACATCATCTACCGATGATATCTACGCATTACTGCATGTGCTGGACCTTCAACGTCAGTTGCAGGAATTTTAGCTCCTTACTCGACAAAGCCACTGACGCTGAGCTAATGCAGTTTTTTCCAGCACTGTGGATGTAGAATGCCTCAAGCACATTATGTGTCAACTTTTCTTTGTGCCTTCCCAAAATCGTGGTGGTATTGAAAGACGGTTTGCACAGGCACTCTTTACAATGAACTGAAAGGTGCACTCCCACTGTGGCTCCGAGATAGTACCTGTGCTCACGGAGCCCATCGTTCAGAACGATAGGTTGTGTGAGCACAAGTACTACTGTATCTCGGAGCCACCAGTGGAAGGGCACGTTTCAGTTCACTGTAAAGAGTGCCTGGGCGAATCATCCCGTGAGGTGCTTGAGGAATTCTACATCCACAGTGGCAGAAAAAACTGCATTAGCTCAGCATCAGTGGCTTTGTCGAGTAAGGAGCTAGAATGGACCTTTTTCCAGTAAGCTTCTGCGCATGCATACACTCCCGCTGTCGCCATTTTCACAGGACACCGGGACGCGGTGCCCTGCTAAAATGGAGACAGCAACATTGTCAGCATCTATCTTCGTGCGTATTTAGTCTATTTTGAATCATGGTTTTTTTTAGTATCGGTAGTATGGAATATTGTCACGAATGAAGGTGACGAAAAGCCGAACAGTGAACTGAAAATAAAGATTTAATGGGCGAACTTGTGCCAACCAAAAATAAATAAAGAAAGAGCGTCGAGGTAGCAGAAAAGCGGGCGGCGGTTCGGCGGCACTACAGAGCGCTAGCGAAACTGGGACTGACTCGACAAGGTCGCGGGAGCCGCTTATCTACCCTGCGTCACTATCTCGAAAGTTCGGCAAAGAAGGTTCGAGCGTCGCGCGCTCGGGGCGAGGATGAACTGGCACTTTCGAGAATAACAAAGCAGAACGAAAGTTACGTCTGCTGCGAGAATGACCGGGAATCTTCTAGAAGACCGTGACCGAGCGTTGCCTTCTCGGCTCTGCGGGTGGCATTATCCCCCCTTTAAAAGTGCATCGCCCCGATGCAAAACGAAAGGAAAACGGAAATGGCTAAAACAATTACGGCGAAACAAAACAAACATGCAGTTTCACAATCCTAACGCGCGTAGAACGGCTTGAGTCGAACTACGTGGACGACTTCGGGTCGTGGCTGGCGGCGTCCTGATGGGCGAGTTCCGTCGGGGAGCACCTCGTAGTTCAAGTCCCCAAGGCGGCGGATGACCTTGTAGGGTCCGAAGTAGCGTTTTAACAGTTTCTCGCTGAGGCCGCGGCGGCGAATGGGCGTCCACACCCATACCCTGTCTCCGGGCTGGAACTCCACGTCGCGGCGGCGGAGGTTGTAGCGGCCTGCGTCGACACGTTGCTGGTTCTTTATTCGAAGACGGGCTAGCTGTCGTACTTCTTCTGCTCGTTGGGTGACCAGCTGGGCGTCGTCGGTGCCGTCGTCCGTTGGATCGTGGGGCAGCATGGCGTCGAGCATCGTCGTCACCTTTCTGCCGTGCACCAGCTGAAAGGGTGTAACGCCGGTAGTTTCTTGAATCGCCGTGTTGTACGCAAACGTGACGTAGGGCAGCACTTCATCCCACGTCTTGTGTTCCACGTCCACGTACATAGAAATCATGTCGGCGATGGTCTTGTTTAGTCGCTCCGTCAGCCCATTGGTCTGCGGGTGGTATGCCGTGGTCCGGCGGTGGTCGGTGTGGCTCAGGCGGAGTATCTCTTGTGTCAGGTGCGCCATGAACGAGGATCCTCGGTCCGTAATCAGGACTTGGGGAGCGCCGTGTCGGAGGACGATAGACTCCACGAAGAATTTGGCTACTTCCACGGCGGTCCCCGACGGGAGTGCTTTTGTCTCGGCGTACCTGGTGAGATAATCAGTTGCCACGATTATCCACCGGTTTCCCTGCGCCGACGGTGGGAAAGGTCCGAGAAGATCCATTCCAACCTGCTGGAATGGTGCAATCGGGGGCGCGATCGGTTGCAGGAGACCTGCCGGCTTCGTCGGTGGTTTCTTGCGTCGTTGGCATTCGTGGCACGAACGGACGTAGAGGTGGACAGTCTTCGGAAGCTTGGGCCAGTAGTATTTTTCTCGGATCCGTGCAAGGGTCCTACTGTAGCCAAGGTGACCAGATGTTGGGTCGTCGTGGCAGGCTTGGAAGATCTCTTCTCGAAGACTGGCAGGAATCACCAGCAGCCACGTCGAGTTGTTGTCCCTGAAGTTTTCTTTATAGAGGATACCTCTCCGGACGGTGAATCTTGGCAGGTCACGTGAGAAGGCTCGGGGAATCGTACCCCCTCGTCCCTCCAAGTGGTCGATCAATGCACGCAACTCAGGATCGTCCCGCTGGAGCGCTGTCATGCCGTGAATGCTCACCGCGCCAAGAAAGTGGTCGTCGTCGTCGTCGTCTTTGGCACATCCGGTAGCTGACTCGACAGGGGCTCTGGACAGGGAGTCGGCGTCGCTGTGTTTTCGGCCTGACTTGTAGACCACGGTTACGTCGTACTCCTGCAGTCGTAGGCTCCATCGAGCGAGGCGTCCCGATGGGTCCTTCAGGCTCGCTAACCAACACAGCGAATGGTGGTCGGTGACCACCCGAAAAGGAGTTCCGTACAGGTATGGGCGGAATTTCGTGATGGCCCAGACGACGGCCAGACATTCCTTCTCGGTCGTTGAGTAATTGCGTTCCGCGTTCGACAGCGTCCGGCTAGCGTATGCGATCACGCGCTCCGCACCGTCTTGTCGTTGGACCAGTACCGCTCCGAGTCCTGTATTACTGGCGTCCGTGTGGACCTCCGTTTCGGCTGATTGGTCGAAGTGGCCGAGGATCGGTGGTGACTGGAGCCGTCGCTTTAGTTCGTCGAATGCCTGTTGTCAGAAATGTCACGAATGAAGGTGACGAAAAGCCGAACAGTGAACTGAAAATAAAGATTTAATGGGCGAACTTGTGCCAACCAAAAATAAATAAAGAAAGAGCGTCGAGGTAGCAGAAAAGCGGGCGGCGGTTCGGCGGCACTACAGAGCGCTAGCGAAACTGGGACTGACTCGACAAGGTCGCGGGAGCCGCTTATCTACCCTGCGTCACTATCTCGAAAGTTCGGCAAAGAAGGTTCGAGCGTCGCGCGCTCGGGGCGAGGATGAACTGGCACTTTCGAGAATAACAAAGCAGAACGAAAGTTACGTCTGCTGCGAGAATGACCGGGAATCTTCTAGAAGACCGTGACCGAGCGTTGCCTTCTCGGCTCTGCGGGTGGCAATATAAAGAGCACTGAAAACCGATACAACGGCACGACGCCAATGTGTTTTGACCGGCGGAGGAATGTTGGGCTGCTCTTCTATTGTAGTTCGCAGACAACTCCCCAGACGGCGCTTGTTACTCGAAAAAGGTCCATTCCTGAGACTGACAATGAACGTCCAGCCTGTGCAGTAATGTGTAGATATCGGTAGAAGATCTGCGTGTGAACTTGTGGAACAATGCATGCTGTCTTTCTCCTTGTCTATCAGTAAAAATACATAGTTACGGGTCAGCACTCTGTCCTGTCCAGTTTGTCGCTTCCTTTTGTACCTTTTTGTGGTTTTATTAACCAGTACCAACTTGCCCAGCTGTCAACCTTACTACAATAAGAATACACACTTCATCTTACTGTAACAGCCCCTTGACATCTCTGGCCCATACAGTGTGCAAAATTCTGTGGTGCTCACATTTTCAATTTCCTTGCATGACCAGGAGATGTCAAAAGTGCCCCCCCTTCCCCCCCCCCCCTTTTTCTTTTTACTGTGAACAAGTTTATATTAATGATCCATATGACTTTGCTGGATTGCGCTTGCCTATCTCTGCGTATGTATGCAAACGTGGCCACTGGTTGGCCACGTTTATGGAGGCACAGGATGGCCGAGTTAGCATTGCAGAAGCTGCATATGCTGCCCTTCTCTGGTGCTGTGCTTTTGCAAAACTTTCGCCGGATACTGAAAATGAAGCTTGCATTCTTACTGCGTGTACAGATATTGTTTCATCGAACGGCGATCAAGAACAAGATGTCAACCATTTCTATTTTTTATAGTAGCCTCCAGAGCGCTAGTCAATCATCTTATGCCTCCAAAAACATGGAAGACCGGTGGCCTCATTCGCGAAGCGGGAAAGCGTGATCCAGCAAGTTGCTGGCCAACAATTATTATATCAGGTTCTTCAATGTAACTCGACTTTCAAGACCAAGCTGAAGGGACTCGGCTTGGTCCAAAAGTATGTAAATTATATCTATGTGTGGATGGTAATGTTCATAACTTGTGTTTACACATAGTTTGTGAATACAGCATACCAAACTTGGTGTCTTCCATGACGGGAACAATGGTCCACTGTTTCCTTGCTCTGGAAAACTTCAGGGCGTGTTTGTCTTCGCCGTCTTCTGTGAGGCGCACCTTCCTGTCCGCATTGCAGTTGTAGTGGAGCGCTGCAATGTATGTCCTGAAAGATGCAGCAGAGCGTAACAAATTAGTAGTCCAGATGCCAGGCGAAGTGCAACACCCACCTTGCCAGCAGTCCATCATATCGGTAGCTAACAGACTTGGGGGCAAAATGAATCAGCACCCCATGGAACGCATCCAGTCCGAACGTCTGCTCGTTCGAGGACAGCTTGGGAATGTCCCGCAGGAGATGCTTAGAGAGCACAACCGATTCCAACTTCTTGTAGGTTTCGGTGCCTAAAAGTAAGAGCAACTATAAGCGAACATTCTCTAAAACTTGCAACCCAGGAGCTCACCCTCCTCAATCCAGAGCCGATCACTGACATCCCCGTGCAAGCACGCTGGGTGCAGTGGGTTCGGGTGGTGGTGGACATTGCAGATGTGCCTGGTGAATGACGTCCATTTTGCCAGGATCAGGTCCCCCCGGCCGTTGCTGGTGCGGGCGCACCAGTACAGATGTCTCGTGATGGTGTCCAGCCATTTTTCCAATGGCTTGTGGCGTGGCGACTTGGCGATTGCCACAATCTTCTTTTTAATGCCTGTAAATATAATTCCCTTTCAATGCTCCAATGTAATGCGGGCAATGAGTTTGAAAACACTTTCATTGTAGTTGAAAGATGACTTCTATAAACTGCATTATTTTCTACTGCTGTATATAGATTATAACTCCACAAACCAGTGGCAGAAGGATGATCTCATAAAAAGGAATGCTCCTTAGTCCAGAACTGTCAAGATATTTCTGAGGAAATTATAAAGAGGCTTGAATGTGCTCTAACTGCAGCTGAGACAATGCTTTGCTCAATTGTGGATCCTCAATTATATTTTGCTAAGGCAAAACTTATAAGCAAATTTTATGCAGGGCTTAGGTGTTCATGTGGCATACTTCCAGCTCCAGGCTTCACCGGAAGCTATGCTGGTGAAGCTGTGCCCTATGCTCATGTATGGGAGGAGGCACACTTTTTCTGCTAGCTCCACAAAAGCATTGCCTGATGTTCCATTTTCACTCAATGGCAAGCAAGCAGACTCTCCTCTGCAGATGCTGTTGGGTCTTGGAGGGAGGAAAAGACCTGGAGAACATGGGTTCATGCGACCTGTATAGGTCCTCGGCAGGGGCGGATGCAGGAATTTCCTGAGGGGGGGGGGGGGGGGGGGGGTCAGCTGTTGGTCAGCGTACCATATGCTTAGGAACCCCCTCCCCCTCTCCCTCGTTTCACACCCTAAATTTTACACATGCAGAAATCAAGAGGGGGGTCAGGACATCCGGACCCCCTTCTAAATCCGCCCCTTGTCCTCGGTCGTGTTTCTCGAGCTCCATCATTGGTGTAGCCCCTTAAGATATTTCCAAGATTTTCCAACACCAAGAGTGACAGAAGAAGCAATTGTCTACATGCAAACTAATAATAAAAAAAAAGGATGGAAGGTTTTAAGAGAACGGTAAAACACGAGCAGGAGATAAAATGTGGTTTTGTAAGAGCACCCTATCCCGCATGCAGCCTGTACAGAGGCTAGGGTGGATAAAATGGTCTTTCCTAAAATGTCCTTATACCGCAACCAGCCTATCTTCGGTTCATGCAGCTCAGCAAGTATTTTGGCCTGGAAAACTAGGGACTTCCTGGCAGCTCCTAAGCCTCAAACCTCCAATGTTGTGCTCCCTCTTTTTCATTAGTGATTTATCACAATAACCTTCCTGAAATGGCATCACAAACACCACTGGTTGGTGATAAGCATGCTTAAAGTGCAACTTCAACCTCTGCTTGCCTGCACTTGGAGCTGTTTTATCTTCAGAGATGCAACAATGCATTGGTAAACAAAGATATGTATTATTATAATCATCTCGTTGTTGTATTTGGCCTGTTTTAGTTTATTGTCCTGGGGTTTCTGTTTGACCAGTCAACCTTTATTTCAGTCAATTTCGTGGGATATGTGCTTTTACTGTGATATTGGCTTACCTTTGCTGACATGCCAGATATCAAAGCGGTGCTGGATGAGGGGATGCTCTCGCTTCATGTACGCGCTGACCTGCAGGTGCCTGTCAGTGACAAGGACCTCCACGGTTATACCTAGTTCCGCAAAGTAGACTAAAGACCTAGTCAGCCCCTCCAGTTCCATGTGGCAACTTGACTTCACCTCAGTCGACTGAAAAACAACCGGTATACAAATGCCATGAACTCTGCAAGTCCATAGTAGTAATAAATTTCTAGGATTAACAACTTCATTGAACGAAAGTGTAGTATAAGTGTAAAATACCCCAAAAATTAGAACACCGGTTCTGAACAATTGAGTCCGCTGACATTGCTTATAAATCATTAGGAACATTAATTTTTTCTATTTAAGCAACATTAAAAACTATTGAATTCCGATTTAAACCCTTTCCTCTTTGAGAGAGTGAAAGCATAGTTGTGAAATAAACTAACTTGCAATACAAACATCATGCTATAAAGGAATTACTAAAATAAGGGAACATTTCCAAACTAATATCAGGCATAACTAACATCAACTTCTATAACTGAAGAGAAGACAGGCGAGCTGGGATAAGATTCCGATGGAGACCCAAAAGGAGGCGTGAACGAACAGACAACACAGAAATGTCACGTGCAGCTGTACTAATACGCTCTCAAGCAAGATAATGGACAGCCATAGCTTTAATGGCATGGTTGCCATCCACGGACCGATGTAGACGTGACACGATTATGTCCACTTCAACTGACACATTCCCAACCGGTCCTTCGATGCCGAACATCCCGCCACAGTCCATCCAGCGCCATAACTGCCTCAAGGAAATCAGAGGTGACAGCGCACTTTTGCTTCCCGTGCTCAAATCTCGAGATCTGCCTAACATTTCGCCTCCTTCGCTGCGTCTTCTCGGGCCCGCACTGCCGCATTGGCACGCATTCTGTATTTTGTTCGCATGGCTCGAGCTTGTAGCTTTATCCCCGATACATTAGCATTTTGTTAATTTCATTATTGGAATTATAATTTTATTTGCACAAGAACAGGTGCATCCACGGTGGCATGCTAAGCTTAGCAGAAAGGTGAAAACCCTTACACGTGTGCACCTACTAGCCTGCCGCCATGAATGTTTCCTGTTATTGCTTGGTATTCTCCACATGAGTGAGTGCTGTCTGCACTGGGTACTTCAAAGAACACACTTTTTGAGTTGACAAGCATTATAGCTGAATGAGAAGAGCATCGTGGTGCAAGCCGTTGGATACTAGGATCAATTTCCCGCAGGCACTATCTGAGAACACATTTTTGTAACATTTTCGTCGAGGTGGAGCACGCACACACAATGCGTAACTAGAAAGGGTCCCACTAACAGCTATCACTGTAAAATTTCACATGCAGCTGTGATTTTTCGAACAAAAATAGCACTCGGATAGATTGAATGACGAGCATAGCCTGGCAAGCCTTCCTTCAGCACCTGGAAGGAGACTTGCATTTGGTTCGTCCTTCTCTTCTTTGCGTTGCCTGACCATCTTTTCTTCTCTATTAGTCTCCAGTCTTTACAATACACAAGTAGTATGCAGGTAGTTCCGGGGACAAAACTCACCTGCACGCAGTCTTGGGTAAGTTACTTTTAAAAAGAAATTCGTTACAGTTACAGTTACTTTCAGAAAAAAGTAGCGAAGTTACCGTTACAGTTACCGCAACAAAAGAGTAACTCGTTACAGTTACAGTTACTTTTAAAAAGTAACGACGTTACTTTTCAGTTACTTTTCTGTAACACCAAAAAATAGGGAAAACTGGAAAACGCCCCTCACCAAGCTCTATTGCATAAAATAAACAGTACGCTTTTTATAGCATCTTCGATCAACTCGCACCGGAATCGCCCTGAAACCAGCACAGTGCACAGCGCTCCTCGGTCGTGCTGCGCGATGTCGGTGCAACATCGAGGACAAACTGCGCCGCGCCGGTGCACCGCGGCGAGCTCCACCTTGCGTCAATTCGCGTTTTGTTCGTTTATTTTGCGTAGGTCAGCGCACGGTGCCCGTCTGCTGTCAATTTCTTCTATTTTTTTACTCGCGGATTTGACGGTCCCACAGAAATAAACATCGTGGACGTGATGGTCGATGGGGTTACGAAGCGGGTGAAAATTCCACATGTATATGTTGGCCATCATTATTAGTTCCAAGAAAACGAAACACCAGATAATAGCCGTACCTCGCTGTCATCGAAACGCCTCACGCCGCTTTCCACGAAGTTCGTGCTTTTCGGGCGCTCCTTGCCACCGCAGCAATCGCCAGTAATCGCGGCGACGGTGAGAAGCTCGTCGTCTCGCCGTCAGAAGACCCGAGGAAATCATCTAGTGCAGCTGCGAGGCGTATTCGTTTTTGCAAGATCGCCATCTCGATAGTCTGCGCGTCTGCTACTCCCGCCATCTTTTCGATTCCCGCTCCTGGCCGCAATGCCTGATGGGACTGCCCCCCGGCGCACCGCCGATTTTCTTGGTGCGCGTTGGGGCAACGAAAAGCTGCACCGGGAGGGTGCGCTTCGTTGATCGAGGACGTACGGTGCGCACCGGTGCACTTGATCGAAGATGAAGGGGCGCACCTCAGTGCCCCGGTGCGCACCGGTGCGGATGATCGAGGATGCTATAAAGTGTTGAGTCACAAAGTACAAGCGCGTGCGTGAATATAACTAGATTTTTTTTCATGATATCTTCACGTGGCTATATTCGGGTCGTGACTCGTGAGAAAGAACGTATTCACAAGTTTGTGCAAGGCCAACATGACACTCAAAATGTCGGAATAGACGATTTTAAAAGTGCAACGAGAATATAAATTGTACTCGATCAGTGATATATTATTCATAAAACACTGAAAAGTAACGACAAAAGTAACGTCGTTACTTTCATCGTTACCTCAGAAAAAAGTAATTGAACTACAGTTACAAGTTACATTTTAAAAAAGTAACTCGTTACAGTTAGAAGTTACCAAAAAAGTAACGAAATTACAGTAACGCGTTACTACCCAAGACTGCCTGCACGCTCTTGTGAAACTAGATTGGAGTGTTATATAAATGGTGGAAAACATTTGCAATGCCCACCTGTACAAGTTCCAGGTGAATAATACGGTTGATTGATGTCTCCAGCAGCGAATACGTCCCGTGCAGGGCAGAAAAGCCAGGGGAGTCCGATCGGCCGTCGCCGGCCAGCCGTAGTGGCCGCCCCTCCAGGCTCTTGACAAGAGTGCGTTGTTGAGCTCTCCATACCTGTTGTAAAAAAACAGAGCATTGCTAAACAGAAATTAAGGAGCATGTAAATTTACAGCAATTGACCAGGAAAGTAAAAACAAGGACAGATGACAACAGGGAGGGTTGCATCCCTTGTCTTTGATTAATTTCGAAAATTGCTGTGCATATTCTAAAAGATAGCACAATCTAAGCTGCTTACGTTCATCACTGCTGGGAGCACGTAGCATCTCTGATACTCGTTGAACTGTGTGGAATGGATTCTGGCGACGCCCATGATATCGAAGAGGCGGAGCACCTTTGTTGGGCAGCCTCCACTGAAGACGATCCCGCTACACATTAAGATGTTGCCCTCTGGCTTGCCATGACACTTAGGCTGGCTCTCCCAGATGCTGGTGTGGCCAGCGCCGCAAGTGGTGGTGGCCTTCACCATGGATCCGACAAGGTCAAAGGAGACTTGGGTGTTCATGGAGAAGCAATCCGAGCACCGCTTCAGGAGCTTCTTGAGGCAAGACCCAAACACGATGTACTTGTCGACGGCTGCTTCACTTTCATCAGGTGCTGCGCCACTTCCTGGGGCCCTTTGAGATAGAAAAAAAAATGAGGAAAGTTAAACTTCAATCAAAAGAAAAATGTATAGCGCCTTTGTTGAGTGGTTTGCTCAAACAGGGTTAGGACGGTTATAAAATTTACCGGTTATAAGCTGCAGCCCTGATTGAGCAGCTCTCGCCGCTCTACTAATAATAAACTTAATTTAGGCTCGGGAAAGCCATATAGCTTTTATAAAAATCATTTAACTTAAAATAAGGTATTACTAGCTCTCTCTCCCTTTCTAAGAGAAAAAGAAACAAGACCAACAATGGGGCACTAATAGTGTCATGCTAAATACATCATAACGAAGTTCCAATCAGAAAAAGTTATTTTACTCAACTCTTCACCGTCTGAGTAGTTTGGACGGTAGTCAGGATCACTTGGATCCTGAAGAAGACCCAGAGGATCACTGCAAAAACACGAGATGTTTAAATGAATATCTCCACAACCAACACTCATTTCCTGACGTCTGCGTGCCGAGGTGGCTCCCATGCAAATTTCAGTACACAGATACACAAATGGGCTTGAACCCCAGGCCAGCACACAAGTCCCCATATTGTAGGCTTGAAATCGAGCCAACATGTCTGTAATCTGACAGAAGCTTCTTGACTGAGATTTTGGCTTCTTGAGCTGAGATTTTGGCAATGTGTAAAGATCACAAGGCTCATCCGAATTCATCCTTAGGTATGCCGACGCCATATGCCATTCATCAATCTGTACATGATATTTCCGAATTTCATTTCATTCCCAGAGTCTAGTATAAAGAAATCTACAAGTTTTGAATAAAGGGGGTTAAGTGCCACTAACTGGTCACTCAAAGTAGAAATTAAAACTGTGGAAAACCTAAGTTTGAAATAAATGCAAGGGTGCAAATGAGCTGATGTACATTAAACATAATTAAAAAAAAAAAGGGACTGCAGGTAACGACACACACACTCAAAAGTCTCAAAATACAAAAATTGGGACTTGAGTGCGTGTGTGCGTCACAATCTGCAGTCTCGTTTTTTTTTTTTTTTTTTTTTAAATCATGGCTAACTTTGAGACCGCAGTATTTCGGGTTTGCATATATGGGCCTTTGTGTAGAGCATAAAGAAATAAGAGCAAAAGTGAACTGAGGATCTCTTCTAGAGAGGAAAATTTTCCTCTTGAAGGGTAACTGCTAAGAAAAAAAAAAGTATATTTTTAAACAGCCTAATGGACCTTTTCTGACAAGCGTTCTGCCGACGCACGAGCGCCCGATGCCAAGCGGCGGAAGTCGGGAACGAAAAATCGAGGAAATTCGGAAGGAGGCTGTATATCAGCGAGTAGAACACGTAACTGCAGCATATATATAATTGTATTACACAAAAAAAGAATGTCGACGGAAAGGAAAACCCGATGTTTGGGAGGGCGCTGCTCAGAGAGCGAAGAAACTGGTAGCGTAGCTCCTATTACCGATTGGTAGTGCAGGTAGGTCACTTCCTCGATTTTTAGTTCGTGCAGCCACCGCCTGGTGCCGTTGGTATGTGGAAAAGGTCCATTGGGACAAGCATGTTTCAAAAAAAATTTTCTGCCAAAAACGAAATTTTTTAAAGCAATATTTATAGCGCGAGACTCATTTTAGTTTGCGGCTATTTCGTCCGTTTTAAATCACGCGCCACAAAGTTTGTATTCTACGTCACGGAAAGGCTGCTATACGTCATGGGTAACGTATTCCAGCCACTCCGCACGCGCGTCGAAAGAGCGGGAGTTTTAAATGTGGAAAAGTTGTAACTTCAACTAAATTACGTCATGCAGCGTAAATATTGCTAGAAAAAATTTGTTTTTTTCGCGGAATATTTGTTTTGTGACATGCATGTCCTAAATAGGCTGTTTAAAAAAAAACATTTTTTCTTTAATGTGGGGTGTCATTTCACGAGTCAAGAGGAGCCATAGTGTTGCACATATAAAGATGCATGGCAAAACGCATTTCAGTGTGAAGGCATGCTTACTCATCTGAGGCCGAACCATCAGCTTCATCTATTGGAGCCTCTGCCGAAACTGGATTTTGTGTGGCTGAGTTCGTTTGTTCAGTAGTCTCAGTCTGCACTTCCTTGCTAAGTTTAGCAAATGCTGTCTGGGTACCTGCAACGGTGAACAATCTTCAGGCATTAGAACCAGCTCAAATTTTGCAAGGGTAGCATTCAAAGAGCAATAAATTACACATGCTGTGCGACCTCTTTTGTCATGCGTATGTAAGTAAGGCATTCTCACCAAAATATTTTTTGATCACTCATAAACAGGTTAGACCTTTTCCTTGGTCGATAGTGCCTGCCTAGCCAACAAGTGGCTGAGACGGCTCTCAAGCCTGGTTCACATATTAACGTTTGACTGCATTCGAGAGCAGAATGGCACGCTTGCAGTCAGTTGCAGAAGCGTGTCGCCTAGTAACGGGACAATGCTTGCCCTATTGCACAGCACTGCAAGGAAGTTGGACTCGGTTTAACTTTGAGTGCAGAAACACTTGAGGTGTGTTGCGGTGGGCCAATCAGAGGCCCACAGCAACGCGGGAACAGTACACCATGTTGTTTGTTTATCCCCATTCGCCGGCGTCGTCGAGTTGTCGCTGAAATGTGCTTCTATGAAGTATTTCTGCGTTTGACAGCAAGGATTACCGCGGGATTATGTTCACTGGTGACAGTGGTTGGATATATTGACGCCAGAGGTACTTTTCGCTCCTTACTTTATCAGAATGTAGACTAACTCATGTTTACAAGCAAACTGGAGCACCCCTAGCAGACGCCACCGGCACTGTGCATGCGCGATGGAAAGTGGACAAGAAGCTCACCGTTGCCCATAAACAAACTATTAAAATGCGATGTTGTCGGCGTCAATGTGAGTCCTCGTGCTCTTTTTCGTATTGGAATTGTTGATTCTTCGTCTTCCTGGCAATGTCTGACTACTTGAGCGGCCTCAGCGACATTACCAAGGCTCACTACACCGCAAAACTTTGCATGAATAATGTGACATGTGACGATACATTCCATGTAGACGCTGCAGAATGGACGCTAAAGCCTGATTTGTATGATGATATTCTGCTCGCAATTTTCAGTTGCAACGTCGCTCGGGCTTCAAAAGCGTGAACCGTAGCTGAGGTGGTCGCTGTCGATAATGAAAATCGCAAGCATAATCGGACCAAGTGAATCAGGCATAACAAGTCGGTAATGGCCACTGGTAACAATGATCACCATCTCTTTGTATCTACTGTTTACACCAGGCTTGCTTACCCCAACCAATCTTTAAACTATTTTGAGGCATACACTTACTTCTTATCGCAATTAGCGGGCCAACATTTGGTCTACAAGCCGGTGTCGTCTGAAAGAGCAGACGATAAGCAGAAATGTTTGAAAGAGCAGACGACAGTTTGAACAATCAGGAGTCTGTTTGAACTTGAAGATGCACTGAACGTAGTCTGCAAGGGGTCCGTCCAACTTAACGGTTTTCCTGCGTTCATGTTGGAACAAAACAAATATATCTGATGACCACAAGTATCCGTGAATTTAACACAAAGTGCTTCCCGCCCAAGCAATCGTGGTCTGACGGCGTCTGGATTTTTTTTTTTTTTTTTCACGGCACGTATTCACATTTTTGGACGAACTGAGCACATGAAAACTGACCTTCAAGCCTTTCTCAACTCCTTTGGAACTGCCCCAGTCACGGCGTTTTGACAAGAAGGCAGGTTTTTCTCCGATTTCTTTCAAAACAACGCAGGAATGCACGTCTCGCATGGCAACTTCCGCCCACAGCCCCAGACCGGAAGTGCGCTTGACACGCCACTACCGCGCTGCGACATAATAGAGTTGAGTTCGTGTATTCTCTCGCTGGTGGTAGGGGATGTTCGTGTTGTTGCTGGTACTTTCAACAGTTTCATCGGCGTATCAAAGGAATATCAAAATGATTTCAATTCCCATCGCTACTGTAGAAAGGGCTAATGCAGACTTTGTGTGGCATGACGTTTAGCTGAGCTGGCACTGTTTAGAGATAGCGACTGCCGGTCGTGCCGCCGCTCTCATCAGGATAATAAATATTTTTGAATGCTATTAGCCTTTTCCGAATTTTTTTTGTTATTGTCACATTCGTCAAACCCTCATCAGAATTTGAGATGTTCTCAGATCACGGTCGCGAGGTCGTTTCTTCAGACCCTTTCATAAAAAGTTTCTAGTGGTAGCCGATGAACATGCGTTTTTGTCACCGCCGTCTTCAATGTGACAATGGACAAGATCTGTCTTCTTCCGGAGCACACCAAGACTCGGAAGCAGGTCTTTCTAAGGTTGGGACAGTATGAGTAGCCAGAGTCACGCGGACCACCAGAGAACTTCAAAAAGCCGTGTCGATGTGGCTGCTGGCAGCTGACATGCTTTTGGTGGATATCGCTTGCTATTGGTGAGCCGAAAGCGTCAATAACGTTCTACACTACTGTGTGTGCATGCCTTCCACAAACGACTTCTGCAATGTTCTGCATCCGCATTTCTACAACTGACCACACCACACTCGAACGCAAATGTGTGACCCAGGCTTTACTTTCAGCGAAGACAAAAATCAGACTGCAGGACTGTAACTGAGCTGATGAAACAAGCCCTTGCCTGCAGACCGTACACTGCTGCTTGGCACTGTCTCTATGCAGAAAAGATTCAGAGCCATTCTCAGATCCAAATTAGATCTCTGGTTCTATACCTGCTACAATGAAACTGCACAGGGCAGATTTCCCACTTTGAAATTTTAACAACCTGTTTCTGCATATGCATGTGGTATCCACACCTTAGATATGAACAAAGCACAAAGTATATCCTGATTAAAAAAAATACGATCACAAGGAAGTGCTTGTTTTTGGTCCACTTGCATCACGAACCAACTAGCCCAAGTATTGATACATCCTCACCTATGCACCTGACTTTGATCTTGGTCTGGTTCCTTCGCGTGCATGTTTGCAGAGGCTCCGTTTGTGCGCCGACACAGACATTTCGTGGAGTCGGTTCAGTCTCCGGCTCAGAAACATCCATGGAAAGCTGCTCACAGTCTGGAACAAGGGCTCCATTTCCATCTGGGCAGGGGTTTGGGTCCGGGACCGAATCGGCGGCACCCGTCGCAGCGCGTTCGGCGATGGCTTCGTCGACAGCCTGCGTTTATAAACAACGTCGCACATCGCATCATTCGTCTGCTATTCTCACACTTCAACAAGCAAAACCCGAAGTCGGCCAATATATAATTACTAAAACTTATCAAAAGTACTTGTGAACCAGTAATGAGAGCAGAGAAAGCGCTCGCGCGCATATGGATCAGCTCCCTGTGGCCTCAATAGCGAGCAAAACGGCAGGAGTCGGAGGTAGTGTGTGTCATAGAAAACACGTCGTGACTTTTTAACTAAAAGAATTCAACGCTTTTAGAAACCAATATTTGACTTACGTCCTTGCGTCTCCTCTTCGCAAACGCGCCAGGGAGAGGGGTTGGTGGTGCAACGACGTAGTCGAAGATGGTCGGTACGGCGTCCGGCTTCAGTCTCGGAGCCCTCTGCGCTAGACCGAATTCTTTTGAAAGCCGCGAGCTGAGCTCGTAGCTATGGTCTGTGAAGTGCACGCTGCACAAGCGAGACGCTTTTGTAGGAACCCAGTGCGCCCGACGCACTGCGGCAATCCATCTTGCTCGCCGCGGCAGGTCTCGCGGGAACACATGAAACGTCACGTCTTTTTTCGCACCCCGATCGTTGTGGCACCCCACCGCACAACAAAAGTCACCACCCATTCATAAAAATGAAATCTATAGCAAAGCCACGCTATAAAGAACGGATCAGGAACAACTCCGTAGCGCTTGATAGCACACGAGGACGGCCGCGATCACTGATGTGACGTCAGAGCGTCTGCTCTTGACAATGTTGCCAACGCAAACGCCGTATATTTGCGGGCAAAATTTGAGCAGTTTGGACTTGAATGAAAATTCAATTACCCATGCAAGGAAGCATAAGAAATTCAGGATATTGTGCGGAAGGTATATCTGGACGTAATGACAATACATTTCAACTGTTTTATTGAAGGCAAAATTTCACCGGACACTCCCTTTAAGACAGCCACAGAAGGCAAAGAACCTGCAACTTACAACGGTCGGAAAGGAACATAATGTAAAACTTTTGTGGAGGACCATGTTGATAAGATTAAGCGTTGACGGGAAACAATATTCCTAAAAAAGATGTAGCGTTTCTTATTTCCATTTGATGCATTGAGTTCTGCTGCAGTCGATTTTTTTGTTTTCAACTTCGAAACATTTAATAGCATATTTGGCATAAAAATACTGTAAAACTCTTAATGTTCGCGAGTCATTACTTTTCGTAATTATCGCGAATGGAAAAATTCGCGAAATTTTAGGGTACGTGAAAATTTCGGTCCTTAAGAGTTTCAACGAGGCCGTTTAGGATTCGCGAATTATAGTGGCTGCGATAATGTCCTCTGCGACCGAATCGCGAATAAATAGGGGCCGCGCAAATTAAGGGTCTTACAGTATACCACTGGGAGGGGAAATTATTTGAGTCTAGCTGCTGCAATACAATTAGCAGGTCTATAAACAGCACCGGATATGAAATGTGTTAACAGTGCCTCGTTTCGTGTGGTGTGCGTGTTAATAAATTTCCAAAATTCCTCTACAACCCCCCCCCCCCCCCCCCCCCCCCCCCCACCGCCCCGCGTCTCCCGCAGGTGACCCTACCCTGGTTAGGCGCATCGAACCTCACCATACGACATCGGTTGGTGCGGCGCTCAAGGAATTCGTTTCGTCCGTTGCAGCGCGCACGGGAGTTGTTTTCTATGGCGCACGGGTGTTGCTTTCTATGGCGCAACGTAAACGTCCCAATAGACATACCATTCGCTACTTGTATTTTTAAACGACGAAATGCCTCCATATTTTGTCATTCGAACATAGATGTTGGCATCGCTTGGAACCGGCGACAGAGAAAGAATGCGAAGAGCAAGACGCCTGCTTCTTGCACAGGGGTTGCAGTGACGTCAGAACACCGCCGAGTTATGATTGGCTCTGATTGAAGGATGGTGGGTCGACCTCAAAGCAAGATGCCTAGAGGTCCACCCACTATCCTTCCAATCGAGCCGATCAGAGCTCGGCGTTCTGACGTCACCGCCACCCCTGCGCAAGAAGCAGACGAACTTGCGCTCCGCATAGGTGAGCGGCGTTTGGCAACTTCTGGTGCCTCAGGACATTTTGTGCAGCTGTTTACAAACGACGACGATGATCTGCAAACCTGTCTAAGCATAGTTTTGAAGACTGAAGGTTTCAGAATTATGCTTGCAGAGGCTTGCAGCTCATTGCCATCGTTTGCCAACACCAACAGTATAACAAAAGTTAAAACTAAGGAACCGGAAGTTACCAAACGCCGCTCACCTCTTCAGTATTAGTTCCGCCTCCAGCACGCGCGATCGTTGCCTTCCGCCGAGCTTTGGCTGCGCGTGCGACGAAGTGCCGGGAAGGGCAGAAAGCTGGTACTGCACGCGGAGCAATGACTGAATTCTTAACTTGTCACCGACTATAGTTCTATCCACTACATGACTTGCACGTGACGTTATCGGCCCGTATGCGCAACTAGTGCTATGGTGTACTGTCCGGGAAGTGTGACGATTGCGGGGTGAGAGCGGTGCCCCGACAAGCGCAGAATAACCTGTGTGTAAACCTGTAGTGGGAAGCAGCGCCATCGTAGACTCCACAACTGGGAGAAAAGGTACTAACTAAATGCAGAATGAGCCTTTTATCACAGTCGGTAGAGGAAATGTTCAACCGTAAATAAAACGTAGTATATATTGAAACTGCATAGCATTTATCAGACAACTTTTAAAGCAGGGGACACACTACTAATAACAACATACAAATGACAGTGTGAAAACACGAGTCACCACAATATCCGTGGTTCGAATGCCACGTGCCAAGTTACTCCTTGAACTCATTGCCATGCGGCAATCGAGGCACAAATCTCGCTGGGACTCGCGTTCGAATCTTTATGCAGACTGTCCTTTGTATGATATATAAGCGGTGTGACCCCGGTTTAACGCTTTCGTGTGCTGGGTATGTAGCCTCAATGGTGTCGTCACGCTGGTGACGTTACTATTCAGAGCTAGGTTGCTCCGGGACATAGCTACCGACGCGGCAGCCAGGAAGACGAAGCAAACGAGGGTGTCATGACGAACCCACAACTTTTATTCCCGAGCGTGAAGAGCCAAAATCCCCCCGTGTCCGATAGCACGCGCTTATCTACATCTTGCAGGATGCACGCTGGCGCCATCTCTTGGGTCAGAAAACAATATCAGGGTGGCGACCCCTACATGTCCCCCCGGAGCTAGTTACTGCACACCAGTTACACAGTCAATTTCTTCTGGCTTTCTACTCGCGGATTCAGTGGTTTCACACAAATGAACATTGTGGACGTCACTGTCGAAGGGGTCACGAAACAGGTAACAGTTCCAAAGGTATGTTTTGCCCGTCATTGTTGGTTGAAAAAAGAATACCACCAAATAATAGCCGTACCTCGGTGTCATAGAAACGCTTCACAACGCTTTCCACGGAGTTCACAACTTTCGGGCACTCCTTGCCACTGCAGCAATCACCCGTAATCACGGTGATGGAAAAATCCTCGTCGTTTTCGCTGTGAGAAGAGCTGAGGAATTAATCGAATGCCGCTGCGACGCGTGCTTGTTTCCGCGAGGTCGCCATCTCGATAGACTGCGCGCCTGCTGTTCCCGCCATTTCCTCGATTCCTTCTCCTGACCACAATGCCTAATGGCACTGCACCCGGCGCACCGTCGATTTTCTCGGTGCGCGTTGGGGCAACGAAAAGCCGCACCAGGAGGATGCGCTCCGTCTATCGAGGACGTCCGGGGCGCACCGGTGCTCTTGATCGTAGACGAAGGGGCGCACCTCGGTGCCCCGGTGTGCACCGGTGCCGCTGTCGAGGAGGCTATGATAAAGAGACAGCATCCTCCAGACTTGCCAACGAAATGGGTCACACAGACGTTATGCTGCGACGCAAACGGTTTTACCATGAGGTCGGCATGACCTTCACTCTCTCCTTTTGTTTCTTGCACTGCTAGCACATTTAAGTCAATCTCCGTGAGTAGGCGATTAAGCTGGTACTGTCTGCAACATGCTGAAATGCCCTTGACGTTTAGAGTTCCTATACGGAGTCCGGACGCGAGCTGTACCATTGCTCTGGTGCTGTCAGTGCCGCCTCTTGGTGCTTGCCTATCGCTTCGTGACTCCAAACGATTAAGCATATGATGGTGGCTCACTGCGACAGTCCTCCCGCTTAGGACAACGACGGAGACTGCTGCTCGCCTGTATAATGTCCCTTCTTTCTGACCGTCTGCCACGGCCTCTCCGGAATGCCGAGATCCAGTTCATTGTCGTCCCCTGCTGTCTCGTCCAGCTGCCTCTTCACGTTCATAGGATTTAGGTCCATGGCCAGTTCACCGTTATCGATCATTGCCATGATATTGGTGACCCCTTTTGTCTCCGTCGATGCCTCCGGCGTATGCTTGCCCGTTGCCGAAACCTGCTCTAACATTCCGTTGCCCTCAGTTGCACCAGTAGGCGGCGATGCCTTGGCAGCCACCTAAGCCGCCTTCGTACCGTCTGCGTCGCCTGTTGTTTCGTCCTGATCCGGCACTTCTAGCGTTTTCGGCGACAACACCGCAGCCTCCTCTGCTTTTGTCTCGTCCATTACGAGGTCGTGGCTTGCATCTTACACGTGGCTGACTACGGCACTAGCGCATGAGCGCACGCAATCTTGAGTCACGTGGCCAAAGCCTCGACACTGTCCGCACTGTGTCACACGACAGTCTCGCCGTATCTGACCTACCTGTGACACCGCAGGCATAGCGGTGCCCGCCCGGGGACGGCAACTAGGACCTTTCCTCTGTGGAGCCTCATCTGGTGTG